AAGCTTTGGAGAGCTTCTGTTCAGCCATTTCAAAGCTCCTTGCTTGGGCGGTGATGGCATGATCATCAGCATAGATGAAACTCTCCAATTAGGAAAAGGCAAGTGAGGTGGTTGTCCTTTGAGATACTGTAAGTTTTTCTTACAGTGTCATAAGCTGCTGACGGATCTGTGAAGACAGCTCCGGTAATCTGCTGCTTTCCAAAACCCTCTTGGCCCCAGTTTCGTCGGAGACAGCGAGAAGCTCCTTCACATTCCCGTCCCAGATTCTCCGGAGGCCAATATCTTTCCGTACTTTGGCGACATTTGCCACTTCATCGGTGAGTGGCTCGCAGTGCCTTTCCCCCTTTTCTCCTTGCCTTAGCTTCACCGTAAGTTAAAAGAGACGACACTTTCCTTCCGCACAGACACTCGCATCGATAAAGACGCCGTCTTGGTTTTTTCGACGCTGGGCATCAGCCGCAGCAGCACGGCCATCATGGCCTACCTGATCCATTCGTGTCGGCTCTATTTAAAGGTAAACATAACCTCCAGGTAGTAGTAATAGTAGTAGGAGTTGTTATTATTATTATTATTTAGTTGTCTGGCCATTATATAGTCTCTATTTATATCTAGCTAGTAATAAATATTACTGTTATAACTATAATAATAATAATAATAATAATAATAATAATAATAATAATAACTACCTCTATTATAACTAAATAATAATAATAGTAGTAATGCTGTCATATGTATCCAGCTGGGGGAATCTGGGAGTTGTAACCCCCCCCCCCCAAGTAATAATAATAATTAATTGTTATTGTTATTATTACTATCCTATAGTTGGATGACCATTATATAGTCTCTGTTTCTATTTAGCTAGTAGTATTGTTTTAGATATTGTTGTTGTTGTTGTTGTTGTTGTTATTTAGTTGTCCGGCCATTATATAGTCTCTATTTCTATCTAGCTAGTAATAAATAAATAATAACCTCTGTTATAACTATAACAACAACAACAACAATAATAATAATAACTACCTCTATTATAACTAAATAATAATAATAGTAGTAATGCTGTCATATGTATCCAGCTGGGGGAGTCTGGGAGTTGTAACTCCCCCAAGTAATAATAATAATTAATTGATATTGTTATTATTACTATCATATAGTTGTAAGACCATTATATAGTCTCTGTTTCTATCTAGCTAGTAATAAATAAATAGTAACTTCTGTTATAACTATAATAATAATAATATCTAGTTAGTATAACTATAATAATAATAATAATAATAATAATAACAACTACCTCTATTATAACTAAATAATAATAGTAGTAGTAATGCTGTCATGTGTATCCAGCTGGGGGAATCTGGGAGTTGTAACCCCCCCCCCCAAGTAATAATAATAATTAATTGTTATTGTTATTATTACTATCATATAGTTGGATGACCATTATATAGTCTCTATTTCTATCTAGCTACTAATACATAAATAAATTAATTAATATTAACCTTTGTTATAACAACAACAACAATAATAATAATAATAATAGTAATAATAACAACATCTATTATAGCTAAATAGTAGTAATGCTGTCATATGGATCCAGCTGGGGGAATCTGGGAGTTGTAACCCCCCCCCCCAGTAATAATAATAAATTAATTAATTGCCTCTACTATAACTAAATAATTATAATAGCAATAAATAATAATTAAATAATAATTACCGCTATTATAACTATATAATAATAAATAAGAATAATAACGATCTCTACTATGTATGATAATAACAATAATAAAATAAATAATAGCGACTTTTACTGTAACTAAATAATAATAATAATAATAATAATAATAATAATAATAATAATAGATATAAGAACACCAGGGCCCCTTGTTGGCGCGGTGGGTTAAACTGCTGAGCTACTGAACTTGCTGACCGAAAGGTTGGCGGTTCAAATCTGGGGAGCAGGGTGAGCTCCCACTTATAGCCCCAGCTTCTACCAACCTAGCAGTTTGAAAACATGCAGATGTGAGTAGATCAGTAGGTACGGCTCAGGTGGTAAGGTAACTGCGCTCCGGTGGGAAGGTCTTTTTTTTGTTGTGTCAGGAGCGACTTGAGAATCTGCAAGTTGCTTCTGCTGTGAAAGAATTGGCCGTCTGCAAGGACGTTGCCCAGGGGACACCCAGATGATTTGATGTATTTATCATCCTTGTGGGAGGCTTTTCTCATGTCCCCGCATGAGGAGCTGGAGCTGATAGAGGGAGCTCATCCACCTCTCCCTGGATTCGAACCTGCGACCTGCCAGTCTTCAATCCTGCCGGCACAGGGGTTTAACCCACTGCGCCACTGGGGGCTCCGGTGGGAAGGTAACAGCGCTCTATGCAGTCATGCAGTCCACATGACCTTGGAGGTGTCTAGGGATAACACCCACTCTTCGGATTAGAAATGAAGATGAGCATTGGAGTCCCAAAGTCGGATACGACTGGACTTAATGTCAGGGGAAACCTTTACCTTTAGGTAGATAGATAGATATATAGATATTTACGTCACAAGACTACCAGGGATGGTTGGGAAGAGGCTGTGAATGGCATGATTCCCCTTTACCTTCACCTATTTCTATCTGACTCTGCCTCTGTTTCTATCCAAGCCTGTCTCTATTTCTATATAGCTGTAGGTATTACTATTCCTATCATATAGTTGTACGGCCATTCTAGATTCCCTTCTATATTGACTCTAGCCAACCTGTCCCTCTTCTTCCCTGGCTCCCGACCTTTGTAGTGAACCTTGCCTTTCCTTTGCAGAATGCGTGGACCTACCTCCAGAAGTGCAAGGGCAACATGCGGCCCAACCGGGGATTCGTGAAGCAGCTCTCGGAGTGGGAGGAGCGGATCAACTTCACCACCATCACCGACATCTCCGAACCCAATTACTGACGGCAGGCGTCTCCCAGTGCGATGGCGTTCTCCCTTCAATGGGTGTTTCCCATCCCTGTTGATACATGATAGAGCAGCCTTTTGTAAAAAAAAAAATGGAATTTATTTTATATATTTTGAAATATACATATTGACTTTGCATTGACCCTGTGTGTTTATCCGCCTGCGACGTGTTTGCACTTTGCATTTTTCCGGATTTAGCTGAGAAAGAGCGGGCCTTATATGAATTTATTTGTTTATTTACTTATTTACAGCTTTTTTATTCCGCCCTTCTCCTCACCCCGCAGGGGACTCAGGGCAGATTACAGTGTACACATATATGGCAAACATTTCATGCCAATTTTGACATACAACATATACAGACATACACAGAGGCTATTTAACTTTTTCTGGCCACCAGGGGAGCTGTCGCTTTCCTCGTCCATCTGCGACGCTGATGAAGCACTTCCGCATTCCCCGCATGCTTCCCCACTGGAATGCTCTGCTGGAGTCTTCTTTATGGCCTCATAAATCAGTTAATTTAGCCTCCCCACACTTTTAAGGTAGTACCTTGTTTTCCTACTTGACAGATGCAACTGTCTTTTGGGTTGCAAAGGTCGACAACAGGCTACACATAATTGGTTGGAAACCCACTCCAACCTGGGCTGGCTTCAATAAATAAAAATAAATAAATATTATAACTATATAATAATAATAATAATAATAATAATAATAATAATAATAATAATAAATGTCATAAATAAATATAAATAAATAACTAAGTATTAGTACTATATAAAAATAATAAAAATAATAAATGTCATAAATAAAAATAAATAAATATTAGGACTAAATAATAATAATAATAATAATAATAATAATAAATGTCATAAATAAATATAAATAAATAAATATTAGGACTATATAATAATAATAATAATAGTTTTTTTTCTTGCCTGCCTCTCCTCACAGCTCAAGGCAGGTTACAGCATACTTATAATAGTGGTAATTATTATTATTTTATTATTATTATTTATTAGTATTTTTATTTAGTTATAGTAGAGCTATTTATTATTATTATTATTATTATTATTGTTACTTGGGGAGATGACATCTTCCAGATTCCTCCCAACTAGATCCATATGACAGCATTACTATTATTTATTTATAGTAGAGGTAGTTATTATTTATTATTTAATTATTATTTATTTGTATTATTATTTAGTTATAGTAGAGCTATTTATTATTAATTTATTATAATTATTATTACTTAGGGAGACTACAACTTCCAGATTCCCCCAACTAGATCCATATGACAGCATGATTATTATTTATTTATATTAGAGGTAGTTACTATTATTTATTTATTTACATTTATTTATTATTTATTATATAGTTATAATAGAGGCAATTATTATGGATTTATGTATTATTTGGGGGACTCCCAGATTCCCCCATATGACAGCATGACTGTTATTATATATTGTTATTATTATTATTATTGTTATTATTATTATTATTATTATTATTATATTGTTGTTATTATTATTATTTTATATTGTTATTATTATTATAATTATAATATTGTTATTGTTATTATTATATTGTTATTATTATTATATATTGTTATTGTTATTATTATTTTATATTGTTTTTATTATTATATTGTTATTATATTGTTATTGTTATTATTATATTGTTGTTATTATTATTATATATTGTTATTGTTATTATTATATATTGTTATTGTTATTATTATTATTTTATATTGTTATTATTATTATATTGTTATTATTATATGGTTATTGTTATTATTATATTGTTGTTATTATGATTATTCTTCTTCTATAGTTGGAGGTCTGGCTCTTCCTATGAGCTGTCACTCAAAGTGCCTTCTTTTGTCCACAAAGGGGCGTGGCTAGAGATTTCCCCCGCCCACTGCCTCTCAGCAACGGTTGCCCTGGGCTACGCCCCTCCCCCTGGCATCTCCCCGCCCCCGCGCGGCGCTGATTGGCTGAGGCGGCGTGGGGCAGACAGGCGGGCTCTGATTGGCTGTTTCCTTTCCCGGAAGCGAGCCTGCTCTCCCTTCCTTCCTTCCTTCCTTCCTTCCTTCCTGGTGGGCTTCTTTCTTTCTTTCTGAGGGAGGGAAGGTGTGTGTCCGCCATGATCCGCCGGGCCTCGGTCAGCGACTGCTTGCGGGACTGGGAGGAGCTGCAGGACGGATTCCAGAGGGTCCAGGTGAGCCCTGGGAAGGGAGGGAGGGAGGGAGGGAAACAGGGGGGCGCCTGGGCAGGAGCAGAGGGACAGCAGGGAACCCAGGGAAGGAGGGGTGGGGCTGGGAAACAAGGCCTGAGACAGGGAGCCAGGGCTAGGCACTGAGCAGGAGACCATGCTGAGGGGAAGCAGCAGAAAAGGCCAAGGCGACCCCCAACAGATTGCACTGTAAAACAAGGCACTGTGTGTTTGTGTGTATGTATATATGTGTGTGTGTGTATGAATACATACACACATACACACACAGACTCACATATATTCACACACATATATACACACACATATATATATACACTCACATATACACACACATATATATACATACACACACTCATATATACATATATATATATACACACACACATATATATACACACACACTCATATATGTATATATACATACACACTCAGATGCACACACATATATACTTATACACATATATATACACACACTCACATATATATGTATATATATACACACACATATATACACACACTCACATATATATACACACACACACATATATATACACACTCAGATATATATGTGTATATATATATATTCACACATATATAAATACACTCACATACATATACACACACTCATATATATATACACACATTCACATATATATATACACTCTCAGATATATATGTATATATATATACACACATATATACATACACACTTATATACATACACACTTATATATACATAAGTGCTTTTTTCTTTCTTTTTCTTTTTAATCTGTGTATTTGTTCTGTTCTGTTAGGATTGTAACACAATGGTATGGTTGCTGATGACACGATAAATAAATATATATACATACACACTTATATACACACACTCACATATATATACACACACTCATATATGTATATATACATACACACTCAGATGCACGCACATATATATACATACACACACGCACATATATATACACACACAGATATATATATATATATGTATATATATATGCAGACACATATACACACATATACACACATATATATATATATACACACTCATATATATACATATTCATACACTCACATATATATACACACACACACAAACACACACACATGCGCACACACATACACACATATGCGCACACACATACACACACTCCCATATATACACACACATATACACAGACAGTCCATTGTTTTGTTCAGATAATATTTTGGGATAATATTTTGTCTCCTTCTCTGGAGGCTTTTAAGCAGCAACTGGGTGGCCCTCTGTCAGGAGGGAGTGGATGGTGCCTGCCTTCATGGCGGAAAGGGGTCAGACTGGATGGCTTTTGGGGGTCCCTTGCAACTCTAGGATTCTCTTGTTGGTTGCTTTTGTCTCTTGGGTATGCCTTTTACAATGCCAAGGAAGGATTGTGTTGCTTGGTTATGGTGACAGAGATGCTCTTGCGCCATGCGCTGCCATGGATAGGGCTCTCCTCTGCCCTCCTTGGCCCAGTCGCTGCCTCTTGAGCAACGCTTGCCCTTTATCATGGAGGAACTGCTGTTGTTTTGTCTGCGGTGCCAAGAAAGCCCACATTTCCAGCCTAGAAGACTTTGCAGAGTCTTCACTTTTTCCAACAAATTTTGTAACGCGGTGTAATAATATCCTAGTTCTTTTGTTGTTGTTAGGAGACTCACCGGCTCTACAAGCAAAAGTTGGAGGAGCTGACCAAGCTCCAAGATGGGATCTCCAGCTCCATCTCGAGACAGAAAAAGCAGCTGAAGGAGCTCTCGCTTGCCCTCAAAAAGTACGTCCATCCATTCTGGGAGGTTATGGCTTCCCATCCAAATCATAACCAGGATTAACCCTGCTTCGCTGCCAAAATCAGAGACCTTTAGTGCATTTTAAGCCCTTGGCAATGAGACCGTTGTCTTTGTTTGCGTTAAGAGATTAAGTTCATCTCATTTGTTTCTCATTCTCTCTGTATTAATGTGTGCCTTGCCTTCAAGCCCCCTGTTGATTTTCCTGCCTATGAAAAGTAGCTGACATTACATGATATTCCTTGGTGGTTCCACCTTGACCTTGTTGTGGGAGTCAAAGCAGTTTAGGAGTGTCAGAAAGTGGTTCGTGAACGTAAGAAATGTGTTGTTTTGCTGCAGGTGCAAGACCTCTCTCACCGACCAGGAGGCCAAAGAGAAAGACCCTGCCATCCAGGAGCTGCAAGGGATGGTCAAAGACCGGCAGAGCGTCTTCTTTGAAATGGAGGCCTACTTGCCCAAGAAGAACGGGTGAGATTGCACCCTAAACGTCTAGACCCCTTTTCCATGGAGTTATCAAGCCATCGGCGTCACCTGTCCTATATCTGTGCATTTCCTTAGTTAGATTTGGCCTTGATCTCTCTCCCTCTCTCTGTTTACCATCCAGGTTGTACCTGAGTCTCGTCCTGGGGAATGTGAATGTCACGCTGCTCAGCAAGCAAGCCAAGTAAGGATGCTCATATTCCCAGTATGTGGTCCGGTGAGCAATTTGCTGCCTGATTGACCAATTGAAACTTTCGAACAGTCTTCAAAGGCAGCCCCACATAGAGTGCATTGCAGTAGTCTATTCAGGATGCCCATATTCCCTGTACATGCTCCGGTAAGCAATTTGCTGCCTGATTGACCAATTGAAACTTTCAAACAGTCTTCAAAGGCAGCCCCACGTAGAGTGCAGTCTATTCAGGATGCTCACATTCCCTGTACGTGCTCCGGTGAGCAATTTGCTGCCTGATTGACCAATTGAAACTTTCAGTCTTCAAAGGCAGCCCCAAGTAGAGTGCAGTGCAGTTGTCTATTCAGGATGCTCATATTCCCTGTACATGCTCTGGTGAGCAATCTGCTGCCTAATTGACCAATTGAAACTTTCAGTCTTCAAAGGCAGCCCCATGTAGAGTGCATTGTAGTAGTCTATTCAGGATGCTCATATTCCCTGTACGTGCTCCGGTGAGCAATTTGCTGCCTGATTGACCAATTGAAACTTTCAAACAGTCTTCAAAGGCAGCCCCACGTAGAGTGCATTGCAGTAGTCTATTCAGTAATAGTAATATTACATGTAATATAAAATATATGATTATAATATTTTATTATTAGTATGATATTGTATTACATTATAATATTATAAATATTATATGTGTGTATAATATATTATATTATTAGTAAAGTTCCGGAAGCATTCTCTCCTGACGTTTCGCCTTCATCTAGAGGTTGTGAGATCTGTTGGAAACTAGGAAAATTGGGGTTTATGTATCTGTGGAATAATGTCCAGGGTGGGAGAAAGAACTCTTGTCTGCTTGAGGTAGGTGTGACTGTTGCAACTAGCTACCTTGATTAGCATTTAATGGCCTTGCAGCTTCAAAGCCTGGCTGCTTCCTATTCGGAGGAATCCTTTGTTGGGAGGTGTTAGCTGTCCCTCATTTTTTCCTGTCTGGAATTCCCCTGCTTTTTGAGAAGTCAGCCATAGAAGATCCAAGCTGGATACAGCATATTATTTGAGAACACAGAAATGCTGGACCACTCTCACAACCACCACGTCAGGCTACACAGAGAAGCCACTGAAATACACAAACAGGTGGACAATTTCAACACAAAGGAGGAAACCATGAAAATGAACAAAATGTGGCTATTAATAAACTCTAAAATCAGGACAGGAAATAAAGGCGGGAGCTACAGACAAGAAACAAGCAGGGACAGCTAATCACCTCTCAACAATGGATGCCCCCAGGCAATAAGAAGCAACACCTTTTTTTTGAGCAACACTCAAAAAACAAAACAAAACAGGTGCATTCCAGGCAGGAACAATGAGGGCCAGCTAACACCTCCCAACAAAGGATTCCCCAGACAGGAAGCAGCCAGGCTTTGCAGTGCTAATGAAGGTGATTAATTGCAACGTTCATACTTCCCTCCAACAGACAAGAGTTCTTTCTCCCACACTGGATATTATTCCACAGATATAGATAGATAGATAGAAGGATAGATAGATAGATAGATAGATAGATAGATAGATAGATAGATAGATAGATAGATAGATAAAAATGTAATGTTTGAACTCAAAAACCATTGGACGAATTGACACCAATTTTGGACACAAGACACCTAACAACCCAATGTATGTCCTTCACTCAAAAAATTGATTTTGTCATTTGGGAGTTGTAGTTGCTGGGATTTATAGTTCACCTACAATCAAAGAGCATTCTGAACTCCACCAACGATGGGATTGAAACAAACTTGGCACACAGAACTCCCATGACCAACAGAAAATACTGGAAGAGTTTGGTGGGCAATGTCCTTTGGTTTTGGAGTTGTAGTTCACCTACATCCCGAGATCACTGTGGACTCAAACAATGAGAATCGGGACCAAACTTGGCATGGATACTCAATATGCCCAAATGTGAACACTGGTGGAGTTTGGGGAGAATAGAGTCTTGACATTTGGGAGTTGTAGTTGTTGGGATTTATAGTTCACCTACAATCACAGAGCATTCTGAACCCCACCAACGATAGAATTGGACCAAACCTCCCACACAGAACCCCCATGTGGGCCACAGCAATGTGTGGCAGGAGACGGCTAGTATATATATGTATGTATGTATGCAAACCCCACTTTCCTAGTTTCTAACAGACCTCACAACCTCTCAGGATGCCTGCCATAGATGTGGGCAAAACGTCAGGAGAGAATGCTTCTGGAACATGGCCAGACAGCCAGGAAAACTCACATCAACCCACTGATTCGGGCCTTGAAAGCCTTCAGCAACACAATTGAACATAGATTGTGGCAGCCACAAAAACAAACTTTCCGGAGTGGAATAATGACTTGCAAACTAAAGGCAAGACAATTAAACAGGAAATGGCACTTTCGAAACAGGAACAGGACATTTTTCTGTAGTGTTATAAATGGCGAGAGGGCTTCGCTAACCTGACGAAGGCTGCATGAGGGAAAGAGCTATACATTCAGGAGGATTTTCCCCCCTTAGCGTGGAGCTAGAGCTGAGCTTTGAGGCCAGATCCATCCTTGTTTCACTCCCTCCTGACAGGTTTGCCTACAAGGACGAGTACGAGAAGTTCAAGCTCTACCTCACCATCATCCTTCTCATCATCTCCTTCACCTGCCGGTTCCTTCTGAACTCCAGGTGAGTCTGCAGCCTCTGGTTGGAAGGGGCCTAACCCAACCCACCCCTATCCATCCATCCATCCATCTGCTGTTTTTGGTCTTTCTCCCAGGGTGACCGATGCCGTCTTCAACTTCCTCCTGGTCTGGTACTATTGCACTCTGACCATCCGGGAAAGCATCTTGATCAACAACGGCTCCAAGTAAGGGCCGCTCCCCCTAGAATCATAGAATCAAAGAGTTGGAAGAGACCTCCTGGGCCATCCAATCCAACCCCATTCTGCCAAGAAGCAGGAATATTGCATTCAAAGCACCCCTGACAGATGGCCATCCAGCCTCTGTTTAAAAGCTTCCAAAGAAGGAGCCTCCACCACACTCCGGGGCAGAGAGTTCCACTGCTGAACGGCTCTCACAGTCAGGAAGTTCTTCCTCATGTTCAGGAAGCCTCCCGGCTTCGAGGCTCCCAAGCCAATCTTTTGAGGCTTGAGCCATGGCAGGGCAAGTTGGGTTCAAAGGGGAAAGTTCAATAAAATTTTGATTTTTATTTATTTATTTATTTATGGCATTTCTATGCCGCCCTTCTCACCCCGAAGGGGACTCAGACAGGCTTACAAGATATATAGATATACAATCTATTATGTTACTAGCTGTACCCGCCACGTGTTGCTGTGGCCAATCTTCCCTCTTTCTCTCCTTCCTTCACTCCCTCTTTCCTTCTTTCCTTTCCGTCTTTCCTTTTCTATATCTTTCCTTTCTTCCCCCTTTTTCTTTCTCTTCTGCTGTCTCTCTTTTCTTCCTTCTCTCTTCTTTCCTTCCCTCCCTCTTTCTCTACATCTTCCCCCCTTCCTTCGCTCCCTCTTTCCTTCCTTCTTTCCCTTTTTCCTGTCTTTCTCTCCTTCCTTCCTTTTCTAACTTTCCTTCTCCCTTTTTCTTTCCCTCCCTCTTTCTTTCTCTCCTTCCTTTTCTAACTTTGCTTCTCCCTTTTTCTTTGCCTCCCTCTTTCTTTCTCTCCTTCCTTCCCATCTTTCTTTCTATATCTTTCCTTTCTTCCCCCTTTTTCTTTCTCTTCTGCTGTCTCTCTTTTCTTCCTTCTCTCTTCTTTCCTTCCCTCCCTCTTTCTCTACATCTTCCCCCCTTCCTTTGCTCCCTCTTTCCTTCCTTCTTTCCCTTTTCCCTTTCCTTCTCTCATTCCTTCCTTCCTTTTCTAACTTTCCCCCTTTTCTTTCCCTCCCTCTTTCTCTCCTTCCTTCCTTCCTTCTCTGCCTCTTTCCTTCCTTCCTTCTCTCTTTGCTTCCATGCTTCCTTCTCCCTTTCCTTCTTTCTTTCCCTCCCTCTTTCTTTTCTTTCTTTCTTTCTTGTCTCCCCTTCCTTCCCTCTTTCTTCCTTTTTTTAACAGCCTGGCTTCTTCTGGCCAGCAGGAAACCTTTGGTGGGAGGAGTTCCCTAGCCCAGATTGCTTCATGTCTGCAAATCCTGTTTTTTGAGGGCCACAGCAACGCGTGGCCAGGTACAGCTAGTACATACATATATACACATACATACATACATGCATACATAATGAATGGGTGAAAAAGGCAGGGTTCCTATTGCCAAAGGGAACAAACCCGTGGAGGTTTAGCTGTTGAAGTCCAGGCAGTCCCCAAGACTGGTCCTGTAGGTTTGTTCTTAAGCTGAATTTGTATGTAAGTCAGAACAGGGACATTTGTAAAGTGTCACTCCAGCCATATATACATTCATTCATTCAAACTCCTTCTTTCTCTCCCTGGTTCTGCTTCCCCTCCCAGGATTAAAGGTTGGTGGGTTTTCCATCACTACATCTCCACCTTCCTCTCCGGAGTCATGCTGACCTGGTGAGTCGCTGGCGCTTTCCATACAATCCTTCGTCCCTTTGCTTTTTTTTCTGGATCATCACTTGATGTTGAGCGTCCAGGAGTAAACACAACTTCCTCTCTCTCTCTTTCCGGTGTCGCTCAGGCCAGACGGACCCATGTACCACAAGTTCCGGAACCAGTTCCTCACCTTCTCCATGTACCAGAGTAAGTCTTCCCCAACCCCCAGTCCTGCCAAAGGCTTGGACTCCACTCCCCATCGTCCCCTGTCGTGTCTGGATGATGGACTCAGTTGAAAACATGAGCTCACCATTTCAGTTCTGCCCAATCTTGATAAAATGATTCTGACTATAAGGCCAGCTTGTTTTGGACTGATGAACATGGAAAGGCTCTCTTTGCCTGATCCTAACCGGCAGCGTTTCTCGCGCAGGTTTTGTCCAGTTTCTCCAGTATTACTACCAAAGTGGCTGCCTGTACCGGCTGAGAGCGCTGGGCGAGCGGCACAACATGGACCTCACGGTGGGTAAGTGGGCACAAGGGTGGCTCAGGCCACGACGTCGCCATGGCTGTCTTCACAATACTTCCTTTGATCCCTCTCCCCAAATCCATAGCATCAGTTTCCCCCCAAAATATGGGATGCAAGATGATTCCCAGCATATGTTGTAAAGGAAGAACAGCTGAAGAAAATCATCAGTTTAATAAAGGGAGGGCAAAAGGATTAGCCTGACAGCAAGAGCTGTTATCATGGAATCCAAGAGTTGGGATCCCAAGGGCTCTACCCACCCACCCACCCACCCATCCTAGAATCCTAGACTTGAAAGGGACCCTGAAGGCTCTGTCTGTCCGTCCGTCCGTCCGTCCATCCATCCATCCATCAACCCTCATTGGTCCATCTACCTATCATCCATTTATCATCTATCTATCTATCTATCTATCTATCTATCTATCTATCTATCTATCTATTCATCCATCCATCCATCCATCCATCCATCCATCCTAGTTAGAAGAGTTCCCAAGGGATTGATCTGCCTGCCTTCCTGCCTGTAAATCTCTAACAGAATCTGAACGTTGGAAGGGCTATATCTATCCATCTACTTATCAATCCTAGAGTTGGAAGGGACCCCAAGGGCTCTGTCTGTCTGTCTGTCTGTCTGTCTATCTATCTATCTATCTATCTACCTACCTACCACGCAACCTAGATTGGAAGGGATCCCTAGGGATATTTCTATCTGTCTCTATCTTTCCTTCCTTCCATCAATCAATCAATAATGGAATTCTAGGAACCTCAATGGATTGATCTGTCTGCCTATCTGTCTCTCTGTCCACCTATCATAGAATCCTAGACTTGGAAGGGACTCAAGGGCTAGCTCTATCTGTCTGTCTATCCCAAAGTTGGAAAGGACACCAAGGGCTATTTCCCCACCCCCACCCGTCTCTCCTATCGTTAGAAGGACCTCAAGGGTTCTTTCTATCTATCTATCTATCTATCTATCTATCTATCTATCTATCTATCTATCTATCTACCTACCTACCTACCTACCTACCTACCTACCTACCTACTTACTTATCTACTTATCCATCCATCTACCTACCTACTTATCTACCTACCTACCTGCTTACCCATCCATCCATCCATCCTAGAGTTGAAAGGGATCCCTATCTATCTATCTATCTATCTATCTATCTATCTATCTATCTATCTATCATCCATCCACCCACCTACTTATCTACCTACCTACCTGCTTACCTATCCATCCACCCATCCTAGAGTTGAAAGGGATCCCTAGGGCCCTATGTATGTATGTATGTATGTATGTATGTATGTATGTATGTATGTATCTATCTATCTATCTATCTATCTATCTATCTATCTATCCATCTATTCTATACCTATCAGCTTACCCATCCATTCATCCTAGAGTTGAAAGGGATCCCTAGGGCCCTATCTATCTATCTATCTATCTATCTATCTATCTATCTATCTATCATCTATCATCTATCTATCCATCCATCCATCCATCCATCCATCCATCCATCCATCCATCATCCATCAATCCTAGAACTAGACTCCTAGGCTTGGAAGAACCGCAAGGGCTTGCTTTATCTATCTATCTATCTATCTATCTATCTATCTATCTATCTATCTATCTATCTATCTATCTATCTATCTATCTATCCCTCCATCTATCTATCTGGATATCTATCTATCTGGCTATCTATATATCCATCCATCCATCCATCCATCTCTCCATCTATCTATCCTATCCTAGTTGGAAGGGACCCCAAGGGCCATCCAGTCCAACCCCATTCTGCCATAAAGCCAAATCAATAGGCAAAGCCCCCTTTGTGATGCAATTAACCCCCCTCTTTTCTCCCAGAGGGTTTCCAGTCCTGGATGTGGCGCGGCCTCACCTTCCTCCTCCCCTTCCTCTTCTTCGGCCAGGTGAGTCTCATTTCCCGGAGAGAGGGAGGGAAGGCTTTGCAAGCTCAGTTAAGGGCGGAACCACCTTGATTACGCCCCTCTCTTCCCCATTTCCCTTGCTTCTTCCCATAGTTCTGGCAACTGTACAATGCCATCACTCTCTTCCAACTGGCCAGGCATCCAGAATGCAAAGAATGGCAGGTAAGACAAAGGCAGCAGGGTTAATATGGCCGGGAGGAGGAGGAGGGCAGCCTTGAATCTGAACTGTTATTGTCTTGGTCGCCTTGCCAGGATATGCATTTCCTTCCTTCTTTTCACTCCTGCATCTTCTCCCTCTCTTTCATTCCTTTCTTTTCCCTTCCCCTCTCTTCCTTTCCTTCCTTTGTCCCTTTCCTGTTTCTCTTTCCTTTCTCTTCCTTCATTCCCTTTTTTCTCTTCCCCTCATTTAGTTTTTCCTTTGCTTCCTCTTCCTTCCATCCATCCATTCTTTTTCTTTCTTCCTCTCCCTTTTTTGGTTCTGTTGGGCAAGTTTGCTCTAGATGCATCCTCGGTGGGGTTCAGTGTGCTCTCAGGCTATAGGGTAAACTACAACTCCCACTATGGCGAGTCAGTCCTCTCAAACCCCTCCAGTAGGTTGAGCTAGTCATGGCGGTTCTGTGTGCCAAGTGTGGTCCAGGTCCATCATTGGTGGAGGGCACCGTTTCTCTAGATGTGGGTGAACTACAATTCCCAGAAAGGAAGGTCAGTTCCCGCCAAACCCCTCCAGTAATCAGGTTTTGGCATATTAGGTAAATGTGCCCAGTTCCATCTGTGTACGGGTTCACAGTACTCTCTGGATGTAGGTGAACTACAACTCCCCCAAGTCAAGGTGAATTTCCCCCAAAGACCTCCAGTATTTTTTGCTGGTCATAGAGGCTCTGTGTGCCAAGTTTGGTCCAATTCCATCTTTGGTAGAGTTCAGAGTGCTCATGGATTGCAGGTGAACTATACATCCCAGTACCTACAACTCCAAAATATCCAGGCCAGTTACTCTCAAACCCCACCAATATTCAAATATGGGCGTATTGGGTATGGATGTCATGTTTGGTCCAGATCAATCATTGTTTGGGTTCATAGTGTGCTCTGGGTGTGGGTGAACTACAACTCCCCCAAATCAAGGTGAATTTTCCCTAAAAACCTCCAATATTCGTTACTGGTACAGTATTTTTTTGCTAGTATGTATGCCAAGTTTGGTCCAATTCCCTCTTTGGTGGAGTTCAGAGTGCTCATGGATTGCAGGTGAACTATACATCCCAGTACCTACAACTCCAAAACGTCCAGGCCAATTCCCCTCAAAACCCACCAGTATTCAAATATGGGCATATCGGGTATGCATGCCAAGTTTGGTCCAGATCCATCATAGTTTGGGTTCATAGTGTGCTCTGGATGTAGGTGAACTACAACTCCCCCAAATCAAGGTGAATTTTCCCCAAAGACCTCCAGTATTTTTTGCTGGTCATGGGGGCTCTGTGTGTCAAGTTAGGTCCAATTCCATTTTTGGTGGAGTTAAGAGTGCCGTTCTTAGATTGCAGGTGAACTATAAATCCCAGATCAAGGTGAATTTTCCCCAAAGACCTCCAGTATTTGTTGCTGGTCCAGTATTTTTTGTTGGTCTGTGTGCCAAGTTTGGTCCAATTCCATCATTGGTGAAGTTCAGAGTGCTCCTTAATGGCAGGTGAACTATACATCCCAGTACCTCCAAGTCCAAAACGTCCAGGCCAGTTACCCTCAAAAAACCCCAGTATTCAAATATGGGCGTATTGGGTATGCATGCCACGTTTGGTCCAGATCTATCCTTGTTTGGGTTAATAATGCGCTCTGGGTGTGGGTGAACTACAACTCCCTTATATCAAGGTGCATTTTCCCCAAAGACCTCCAGACAATACATTGACCTCCAGTATTTTTATTTTTTGCTGGTCCTGTATTTTTTGCTGGCCTGTGAGCCAAGTTTGGTCCAATTCCCTCTTTGGTGGAGTTCAGAGTGCTCCTTGATTGCAGGTGAACTATACATCCCAGTACCTCCAACTCCAAAATGTCCAGGCCCGTTACCCTCAAAACCCAGCAGTATTCAAATATAGGCGTATCGGGTATGCATTCCACGTTTGGTCCAGATCTATCCTTGTTTGGGTTAATAATGCACTCTGGGTGTGGGTGAACTACAACTCCCCTAGATCAAGGTGAATTTTCCCCAAAGACCTTCAGTATTTTTTGCTGGTCATGGGGGCTCTGTGTGCCAAGTTTGGTCCAATTCCATCTTTGGTAGAGTTCTGAGTGCTCATGGATTGCAGGTGAACTATACATCCCAGTACCTACAACTCCAAAATGTTCGGGCCAATTCCCCTCAAAACCCACCAGTATTCAAATATGGGCGTATCTGGTATGCATGCCAAGTTTGGTCCAGATCCATCATAGTTTGGGTTCATAGTGCGCTCTGGGTGAACTACAACTCCCTTTCTTTTAGGTCCTGATGTGTGGCCTCCCCTTCTTCATCCTCTTCGCCGGCAACTTCTTCACCACTTTGCGGGTTGTCCACCAGAAGTTCCAAGACAAGGCCCAGAAGGCGGAGTGAGGACGATGGGAAGCCGAGTGCCTGTCCTGTTCCGTCCCCGGAGGTCTTGAAAAGCCAGGCTTTGAGGATTGTGGACCCGAGGGTCTTCTCCGGACACTACCATTCCGCTCCCAAACCCAATTCCAGGACTGGGACCAGTCTCATTTGAGAGCGTTGGGACCATTGGTCTGAACTGGGATCCCAAGGGAAAGTTGTCAAAGTTGTGCGTCTGGGAACGGTCCCGTTTCCCTTCCGATGTTGTTTGTGTCCGTCGTGTTGTCTTGAGCGCCATCTTGAAAAGATATGGCCTGTGTCAACAAGCAACTCCTGCCAACGAATGTACTTCTTGTCGTTCCGTATATGTATGTGTATATATATTGACGTTTGGGAAAATAAAGCAAAGGGAAATGCCTTCTTGGTCCTGCGTTGTGGTTTGAGGTGCAAAAAATTGGTATTGGACAAGCACAATGTCCCAGGTTTTCTGCTTCGAACCGGATTATATGGCAGTGTGGACACAGATAACCCTGTTCAAAGCTGATATGCTACGAAAATATCATTGTAGATTGTAATACATTCTTCAAAGCCTGGCTGCTTCCTGCCTGGGGGAATCCTTTGTTGGAAGGTGTTAGCCGTTCCTGATTTTTTTCCTGCCTGAAATTCCATTTTTTTTGTCTTGAGTGTTCCTCTCTGCCTGGGGGAATCCTTTGTTGGAAGGTGTTAGCTGTTCCTGAATTTTTCCTGCCTGAAATTCCTGTTTTTTTTAGTGTTACTCTTTATTTACAGAGGTTGTGAGGTCTGTTGAAAACTAAGAAAATTGGATTTATATATCTGTGGAATGTGTCCAGGGTGGGAGAAAGAACGCTTGTCTGTTGGAGGCAAGTGTGAATGTTGCAATTAATCACCTTGATTAGCACTGCAAAGCCTTGCAGCTTCAAATCCTGGCTGCTTTCTGCCTGGGGAAATCCGTTGTTGGGAGGTGTTAGCTGGCTCTCATTGTTCATGCCTGGAATTCCCGTTTTTGTTTTTTGGAGTGTTGCTCAAAAAAAAAAGTGTTGCTTCTTACTGCCTGGGGGAATCCTTTGTTGAGAGGTGATTAGCTGTCCCTGCTTGTTTCTTGTCTGTAGCTCCCGCCTTTATTTCCTGTCCTGATTTTAAAGTTTATTAATAGCCAGATTTCGTTCCTTTTCATGGTTTCCTCCTTTCTGTTGAAATTCCCCACTTGCTTGTGGATTTCAGTGGCTTCTCTGTGTAGCCTGACGTGGTGGTTGTGAGAGTGGTCCAGCATTTCTGTGTTCTCCAATAATATGCTGTGTCCAGCTTTGTTCTTCTATGGATAACTTCTCAAAAAGCAAGGGAATTCCAGACAGGAAACAATCAGGGACAACTAACACCTCCCAATATGCTGTATCCAGCTTGGTTCTTTTATGGCTGACTTCTCAAAAAGCAGGGGAATTCCAGACAGGAAACAATCAGGGACAGCTAACACCTCCCAACAAAGGATTCCCCCGAGCAGGATGTAGCCAGGCTTTGAAGCTGCAAGGCCATTCAATGCTAATCAAGGTGGCAACAGTCACATCTACCTCAAGCAGACAAGAATTCTTTCTCATGGTCTCTTCTGCTTTTTCTTCCTTCCAGTGAGGACGCATTTTGCCTCTTTCTTAGGCAAAATGTAGCTGCCGCCACAGCGTTTCAAGGGTTTTCCTTCCACCGAAGGAGCAAATTTGACTGGAGAAGCATTAAGTTCGGCGGGCGATCGGATTTTTTTGGTCATTTTACCCTTTACCTTTCTAAGAAGATGAGATTTAATAAGCTACTTATCCCTCTGAAACCCCCTCGCAATCCCCCCAGACCCCTCTGAAACCCCCTCGCGATCCCCGCAGAGGTCCCGACCCCCCAGTTGAGAAACGCTGGACTACGTCTTCCAGAATTCGTTCCTCAACACTTCCTCTCAAGGGCCACGTGAACGGCAACCGTGGCACCACGACGCGCGCTTTGATACACTCCAAACAAAGGAAATGGTGCAAAAGAACCAAGGGTTGTTTTTATTCGAAGAGCAAGTCTCCTGAACCGTATGTACATTCGGCGGACAGTCATCAGGATCACCGAATGCAAATATTGGAGCCCCATAGCAGCTTCAATGTGCGGAAAGGAGCAAGCGAGGCCACGACGGGAAGGCCCTGCCACCCAAATTCCCTCCTCCGCCGCCACAGCGTTTCGAGGGTTTTCCTTCCACCGAAGGAGCAAATTTGACCGGAGAAGCATTAAGTTCGGCGGGCGATCAGAAAAGGCTTCTCCGCTGAGTCGGGGAGCAAGAAGACGGAAGCGAAGCCCTCCACTCCGAAGGAAAGTGGCCTCGAAATGAGCCGTTTTCCTGCCCTGTTTCCCCATCTTGTCGGAGCTTGAGAAGGAAGAGAGAGAAAAAAAAGCCAAGCGGCCACCAAAAGCTCCTCCCCGAACGGGTTTCGGAACAAATCCGGACTGTTTAACAGGCCGAAGGAAATAAAGCGAGAAGGATGAGGAGGAGAAGAGCGCCACCGCCGTCGTTTTGAGTCTGGGGCCGGTGGAGGCGGCTCGCCAAAAAGAGACGCTCTCAAGACACAAAAAGAAAGACCGGAAGACACCTTGAGGAAGGAAGATGGGCACTCCCTCAATGGTGCAGAGGCTCCCGCGAAAGAAGCAGGCGATAAAGGAGGGAAGGGGAAGGAAAGGGTGTGTTTTCTCACGCAAATCCCGCTCCTCGCAAAAGAGCGCCAAAAGTCCCAAAAGGGAATGGATGGAGTGGCAGCGGAGGGACCTGCTCGGCCACTTTCTCCCCTTCCGCTAACCCTTTGAGAAGCAAAACAACCACCTCCTCCTTCTCCTCCTCCTCGTCCTCCTCCCCCCGTCTTAACTCCAGATGTCCAAGGAGTAGCGGCCCTTGGTCATGAGCTTCTTGATGTAGTCCACCGCCTGCGGCTGGTCCATCTTGCCGAACTCGGCCACGATCTCGTAGAAGGTGTTCTGCACGTCGCGAGCCATGTTGCGGGCGTCCCTGCAGAAGGAGGGAAGGCATAACATTGCAGAGGGAGTCACAACCATGTCTGACTGCATGTGTGCCAAGTTAGGTCCAATTCCATCTTTGGTGGAGTTCAGAGTGCTCTTAGACTGGAGGTGAACTATAAATCCCAGGACCTACAACATTATATTACTGCATTATATGAGTAGCCAGCTGCATTAAATCACCACTATAAATCCCAGTACCTACAACTCCAAAATGTCCAGGCTAATTCCCCTCAAAACCCACCAATACTCAAATTTGATCATATCGGGTATGCATGCCACGTTTGGTCCAGATCCATTGGTGTTTGGGTTCACAATGCTTTCTGGGTGTAGGTGAACTACAACTCCCCAAATCAAGGTGATTTTCCCCGAAAGACCTCCAGTATTTTTTGCTGGTCATGGGGGCTGTGTGTGCCAAGTTTGGTCCAATTCCATCTTTGGTGGAGTTCAGAGTGCTCTTAGACTGGAGGTGAACTATAAATCCCAAGACCTACAATGGCTATAAATCAAGGTCAGTTCCTCCCAAACCTTTCCAGTCTTTTTTATAATAATAATAATAACAATAATAATAATAATAATTTTCTTTGGTCATGGGGGTTGTGTGTGCCAAATGTGGTCCAGGCCTATTGTCAGTGGGGGGGGGGGGGGGGGGGGGGGGGGGGGGGGGGTGTCACAGTGCTCTGACTTGATTCAAGGGTGAACTACAACTTCCATCATGTGGAGTCAATCCCTCAAACTCCTCCAGTATATGTACCTGCTGATTAGTTCTGCTCTGCTTGTTGTGCAGAAGGAAAGAGTTAAGCGAGAGGCAAAGGGACCTGACAAGGGGGCATCCAGTCCAATCCCCCTTTTGGCCAGGCGAACAAACCCCTCCCTACAGATGACTCACCCGCAGACATAGATGTGGCCGTTGTCTTCGTTGATCAGCTTCCAAACGCTCTCCTTGTTCTTCTTCAACAGGTGCTGGACGTAAACCTGGGGAGGGATTGCAAAGAGAAATGAGCTGCAAACGGGATGCAAAGGGCCCGGCTCCGTATCTCTGCCTGGGCATCTGGGCCAAAAGGGCCCGAAAGGACCCAAAAGGCCTGTTTTCCCTCGGCAGGATTTGGATTCTCCTCTCCGAATGAAATATTGGAGAGGGAGGACATTTATGTGGCTCTCCTGAGACAAGAGGCTACACTGGCACATTTCTCACTCATACAGATCCATGGATGGATGGATGGATGGATGGATGGATGGATGGATGGATGGATGGATGGATGGATGGATGGATGGATGGATGGATAGATAGATAGATAGATAGATAGATAGATAGATAGATAGATAGTAGAGATGATGGATGGATGGATGGATAGGTAGGTAGGTAGATAGGCAGATAGAGGATAGTCAAATTAGATGAATGGGTGGGTGGGGTGATGGATAGATAGATGAAAGTCAAATTGGATTGATGGATGGATGGATGGATGGATGGGTGGGTGGGTGGGTGGGTGGGTGGGTGGGTAGGTAGGCAGGCAAATAGATGGATGCATAGAGAAGATGGATGGATGGATGGATGGATGGATGGATGGATGGATGGATGGATGGATAGATAGACAGACAGACAGATGATAGTCAAATTGTATGGATGGATGGATGGATGGATGGATAGATAGATGGATTGGTGGGTGGATGAATGGATGGATGGATAGATGGATGGATGGATAGATAGGTAGGTAGATAGGTAGGTAGATAGATAGGCAGATAGATGATAGTCAAATTAGATGAATGGGTGGGTGGGTGGGTGGGGTGATGGATGGATAGATGGATGGATGATAGTCAAATTAGATGGGTGGGTGGGTGGGTGGGGTGATGGATGACTAGGTAGATAGATGATAGTCAAATTAGATGGGTGGGTGGATAGAGTTTAGATTGATAGATGATAGTCAGAAAAGATAGCTAGATAGAAGATAGATAGATAGATAGAGAGACAAGATAGACAGGCAGATAATTAATAATAATGATCATAATAATAATAAAAATAACAACGACAACAACAACTTTATTTGCAGACCGCTCTATCTCCCCGAAGGGACTCAGGTTAGTTTCCAGCACATATGGCAAACGTTTAATGCCAATAAAGAGACATAATGGTATATGTATGTATGTATGTATGTATGTATGTATGTATAGAAATAGCTAGATAGATGATATAGCAGATGCTGTTAACCAGAACTGGATGGATGGATGGATGGATAGATGGATGGATGGATAGATGGATGGATGGATGGATAGATGGATAGATGGATGGATAGATGGATGGATAGATGGATGGATAGATGGATGGATAGATGGATGGATGGATGGATAGATGATAGATAGATGGATGGATGGATGGATGGATGGATGGATGGATAGATGGATGAAAAGATGGGTGGATGAAAAGATGGATGGATAGATACCTTCTGGGCCTGATCCCGGGAGAAGGCCACGTGGAGCTGGGTGAGGGCTCCCTCCTTGAGGAAGTTGGCCAGTTCCTCCTTGTAGAGGTAGTCCTCATTCTCGTGCCGGCAGCCATAGTAGAGCACTGTCTCGCCTACATCTTTGCCTGGAACACAGAAGGGCACAGATCTCATTGGTTACCCTTACTGCCCCCATTGCCCCTTGAATCATAGAATCCTAGCATTGGAAGGGACCTCAAGAGCCCTCCGGTCAACCCCCTTGAGCTAGGCAGGAAGACACCACCCAAGCCTTCCTGCAAGATGCCCATGAAACCATATCACAGAGTTGGAAAAGATGCAAGGGATACCCAAGGTGCCATGCAATCCCTCCCAACAGATGGCCATCCAGCCTCCATTTCAGACAAGGCCAAGGGTGTCCCTCACCTTGCTTCTTGTGCCATCCGCGCTCCTGGATGAAGCCGATGAAGGGGGCCACGCCGGTGCCGGGCCCGATCATGAGGACAGGCGTGGTGGACTTGAAGGGCAGCCGGAACTGGGACTTGCGGACGTACATGGGCACCACGGACTTGTGCCCGTTGTCCATGGGCTGCTTGCTCTTGAGCCAATTGGTGGCCACCCCTTTGTTGACCCGCCCCGTCTTGGTGGTGTACTCCACCACCACCGCACAGATGTGGATGGAGTTCGAATGCACCTGGGAGAGCCAGAGAGAGCCAGGAAGACGGTCAGCGGGGAGGTTTTCGCAAAAACAAAAGATTACAGCCAGCCCATAAGTTGAAAGAAAGAATTGACTTCTTGTGGAAACAAGAACAGAAGATAAAGCTTCTGTGGAGACCCCTTTCCCCCCTGATAATAACCTTTCCAGTTCAATATAAGCAGGTGTGCCTGTAACTTAGTAGCCGTCAGGCTGAGGTAAACCTCAGTGTGAGGTCGGCCTCAGTCTGAAAGAGAAGCCTCTGTAGGCCTCACAGTCTGAGGCAAACCTTGGAAGGAGAAAGGTCTCAGTCTGAGAGAAAGCCTCACAGTGTGAGATAGGCCTTAGTCTGTGAGAGAAGGCCTCACAGTTTGAGGTACGCCTTAGTCTGTGAGTGAAGCCTCTGTGTGAGGTAAGCTTCACAGTCTGAGGCAAACCTTGGAGAAACATCTCAGTCTGAGAGAAGGCCTCACAATGTGAGGTAGGCCTTAGTCTGCGAGAGAAGCCTCTGTGTGAGAAACATCTCAGTCTGAGAGAAGGCCTCACAGTGTGAGGTACGCCTTAGTCTGTGAGAGAAGCCTCTGTGTGAGGTAGGCCTCACAGTCTGAGGCAAACCTTGGAGAAACATCTAAGTCTGAGAGAAGGCATCACAGTATGAGGTAGGCCTTAGTCCAGTGGTTCTCAAGCTGGAGTCCCCAGATGTTTTTGGCCTACAACTCCCAGAAATCCCAGCCAGTTTACCAGGTGTTAGGATTTCTGGGAGTTGAAGTGGAAAACATCTGGGGACCCCAGGTTGAGAACCACTGCCTTAGACTGTGAGAGAAGCCTCTGTGTGAGGTAGGCCTCACAGCCTGAGTCAAACATTGGAGGGAGAAAAGTCTCAGTCTGAGAGAAGGCCTCACAGTGTGAGGTAAGCCTTAGTCTGTGAGAGAAGGCCTCCTATGTTAGGTAGGCCTTAGTCTGCGAGAGAAGCCTCTGTGTGAGGTAGTCCTCACAGTCTGAGGCAAACCTTGGAGGGAGAAAGGTCTCGGTCTGAGTCTGTAAGAAAAGGCCTCGCAATGTGAGGTAGGCCTTAGTCTGTGAGAGAAGCCTCCATGTGAGGTAAGCCTCACAGTCTGAGGCAAACCCTGGAGAAAGATCTCAGTCTGAGAGAAGCCCTCACAGTGTGAGGTAGATCTTTGTCTGTGAAAGAACCCCTCTTCTGTGTGAGAAGGCTTCTCTGTAGGCCTCTGTGTTAAGTTTGTCTCGGTGAGAGTTCACCATCAGTCTGAGGTAAACCTCAGTGGGAGAATAGATCCTAGTGGTAGTAGGCCTCACTGTGGGAGAAAGGCCTTAGAAGGTGAGGTAGGCCTCGTGTATGGAAGATATAACATTGGTCCGTGTGTTGTTCTTCTTATCACTTTGGGCTCCTGGTGTTGGGTCACGCTGCTGCTAATAAGTTACTCTGCTGTGCATTTATGAGGATGGTCTTTTGTTAATAAGCCCACTTGCCCAACGGTTTGTGGCTCTGCGCTGCTCACCTTGGAGGAAGAGGCGATGGAGTAGTAGCGTGCCTGGAGGCGAGGCAGGAGCTCGCAGAGGTGGTCGATGGGCGGCCGCAAGGACGGCGTGTCTTGCAAGATGGCCAGGATGTTCCTCCGGGCCTCCACCACCCAGCTAAGGTACAAGGCCTGCAACACAAGGCAAGAAAAGTATAACAGGATGGGTGACACCTGGCTTGGAAACAGTCCACGTGAAAAGGATCTCCGAGTCTTAGTGAAACATCAGCCAAGAGTGCGATGCTGCAGCTAAAAAGGCCAATGTGATTCTTAACCTGCATCAATAGGAGTCGTAGTGTCCATACTGAGGGACACTCCATTCTGGTTTGGTCAGAACTCACCTGGAATAATATTATGTCTAAATTTTTGGGCAATTCAAGAAGGAAGGCTGCCCAGAGATCTTGGAAGCCAAAATCAATGGCAGTAGAAGACATTCCACCTAAATATTAGGATGAGCTTCCTGACAGAGCTATTCAAGTCTGGTGGGGGTTTTGAAGAAGGGGCTAGATGGTCATCTGTCAGGAAGGCTTTCATTATGCTTTCCTGCATGGGAAATTCGGGATGGACTGGGGACCCCCCTTAATACCGTAACAGAATATAGGTGAAGTTTTCTCTTCTTGAAGACTTGAAACAGAGGCTGGATGGCCATCTGTCGGGAGGGATAGGGCTGTGACCTGCCTGGCAGAAAGTGATTGGACTGGTTGGCCTTTGGGATTCTCTTAATAGTGTTAAGGGATACAGACTGCCTGGTAATCTGGTGGAGTTTCCTCTTCTTGAAGCAGAGTCCTCAAGATGGATGGCCATCTGTCAGGAGGGATTGAATTGTGACCTCCTGGCCTGGCAGAAGGTGGTTGGACTGGATGGCCTTTGGGGATCTCTTAATAGTGTAATGGGACCTAGACTGCCTGGGAATCTGGTGGAGTTTTCTTTTCTTGAGGACTTGAAGCAGAGGTTGGATGGCCATCTGTCGGGAGGGGTTGGATTTCGACCTCCTGCCTGGAAGAAGGTGGATGGCCTTTGGCGATCCCTTGATAGTGTAATGGGATATAGACTGCCTGGGAATTGGGTGGACTTGAAGCAGAGAGGCCAGATAGGCGTCTGTTGGGAGGGATCCGATTGTGTCCTTCTGCTTGGCAGAAGGGGGTTGGACTAGATGGCCCCTTGGGTTCCCTTTCCAACCCTTTTGAGGGTACGCACCTTCCCTTCGGCAGAGGAGGAGGCCATCTTGCGCAGGTGCTCCTGCTCCTCGGGGGAAGTGGCGTACTGGGCCAGTTCGTAGAGGACGTTGGTGCGCGGTGGGTTGGTGATGTCCAGGTAGTGGGTCAGCGCCGTCCGGTAGGTGGTCGGGCATGGGAAGGGGTGCTTCTTGTTGGACTCCTCTGCAAAGGAAGGAAAGAGGCATCAGCCAGGAAGGAAGAGAGCCAAAGGATCCAGAGTTCACTGGAAAGCCTGCCTCTTTGGGGGACTACAACTCCCAGAATCCCCCCCCCCACAATACGGAAAGAGGGGGGTGACGACGCCCACATTCCCCCAGCTAGCCCAAAGGGATAGTGCATTGGAATGCTCAAATTGTATTGTTAATGCAAGCCACTTGGAGTCTTCTTGTGGAGAGAAAAAGCAGAATACACATAATAAACTTAAACATCATCAACAACAACAACAAAGCAAAAGGCCAGATGGGTGATTCTGGACAACAACACCACCACCACCACCACAACAAAGCAAAAGGCCAGATGGGTGATTCTGGAAACAACAACAAAGCAAAAGGCCAGATGGGTGATTCTGGAAACAACAACAACAAAGCAAAAGGCCAGATGGGTGATTCTGGAAACAACAACAACAACAACAAAGCGAAAGGCCAGCTGGGTGATTCTGGACACCACCACCACCACCACAACAAAGCAAAAGGCCAGATGGGTGATTCTGGAAACAACAACAACAACAACAAAGCAAAAGGCCAGCTGGGTGATTCTGGAAACAACAACAACAACAACAAAGCAAAAGGCCAGATGGGTGATTCGGGAAACAACAACAACAACAGTGCTAAAGGCCAGCTGGATGATTCTGGACACAACAACAACAACAACAACAACAACAACAACAACAACAACAACGCTAAAGACCAGCTGGGTGATTCT